GGGAGAAGGATTTGCTTCTAAATTGCCCTATTGCTCCGAACTAAAACACTCATGCAAACATTGCCTTCTGCTAACAGAACATGGACTGCTCCTATATTTTACAGACAACAGATAGATTATGAAGTCAAATAGATTCTATTCTGTTAACTTTAAATTAATTTAGCCTGACATGAATGCGAGGACAGAGAGGAACATCATGGGAATGGAAAATGGATTTATGATAAACATGGCAGTGCTCATTGAATATTTACATGCCTACTTATATATTTATTTTGCTCATTCTGGTTTTTGTCCCCCACCCCTTGACAGCTGTACCTTTAGTTTAATCGCTTCAAATCTTCTGTTAAAGTATGATCTTTTTATATATAAAACATATAAAAATATATATACACACACTTAGACACAGAGAATGCCTCATATGGAGTTTACAAATGTGCCCAAATTACAATGCTTTAGACCGAGAACATCCTTTTGACTTTCATCCTTACTTTGACCTGAACTAAAGATCTTTCCTTGTGGATAAAGATTGCATGTCCTTTTTTCTGACCGTAGCAGAACGAAGAGGTTACTGTACCTGTCCTGCCCATAGTTGTCTGTTGTCCTCTGCTGGAAGTTGCACTCCTCTTAGATGTGTCAGAAAATACCGCATATGTGGCTGCTTTCCAAACCAGTTATTTCAGGATGCCTACGTTAGCTCAGGTATTCTTAATATCTAAACCGGGTCACTTTGACAGAACTACATTAGGGAATAATTACACACGAAGTTGTGCTGACAGATGGGGAGGAGCGGTTGTCTCCGAGCACAGGATGGGGAGGAGCAGTTGCAGTGTTGCTGTTTTCGCCCGGAGCAGCTGTAGGTGAACAGCACTTTGGCCTGCAACCTTATCTTGTTCTTGTCCATTTTTTAAAAATTATAAATAAGGTATATTTTGTTAAAAAAAGCAATTAAAATCAAAGTATCTGCTTCTTCAGAGAGAGAAAGCAAACATGAACTGGTTCTCACCACACTCATGGAAAGAAGGGAAATTTACCATTTTACAGATGGGAAATCTCAGGTATAATTATGATGTGTGGGATTGTAATTTGGGTACTCCACTGCTGGATTATACCTCTGAGCAGTGCGTTGTTTTTCTGTCAGTTTTTCTGCGGGTTGAGTTTTTGAGTGTTGTTGAGCAGTACCCCACGTGGGGAAAGTGATAAGTTAGCATGCTAAAATAAACTGGAAGATGTTATCTTTTGCCACCCAGATAGTTTGCCTGATAACTTTCCCTCACACTTGTTTTATCTTCCCTTTTTATATAATTTTCTTTTGTGTTTTGATTCTTCCACAACACTTGAAATCTAACCATTAGCAGCAAATCCTGGCAGTACAGAACCTTTTAATTACTAAAAATAAATATTACCCTGTGGCAGAAGGCATTGGATGCTGTAGAAATGGTAGCTGGCACAAACTAGCTGTCACCAGGATTTCTGGCGTGATCATGGCTAAGGATGTGGTCTAACCCTTACCCTGGTGCCTAGGGGCACTCTGCCAGTTTTTAAGTCTCTGAACTAACTCAGCATAAGATCAGAAAAGCACCAGTTTGGCTCCAGGGAGAAGCAATACTGCCCACGTGGTAGCTGTTCCAACAGGTTAGCTGTATCGTCAAACCGCACCGTAACTGATGTGTCAGGAAGTAGGAACGTAGACTTTTTTCTCCCACCCAGTCATGTTCTTTTTTCATTTTTAGTATTTGGATATAAGTTGCTAACATAAGACTTTGAGATGTCTCACATTATATTTCATGTCATGTCACTGCTGTGCATCAAAGTAGAAATGGATGACTTGGGCAAGTAGTGCTCTTTTCAGTAGGAAAAGAGGAGAAGTACAACTTTGTTGTCTCTGTTTTTGCCATGAAATCGAGTTTAAATACTCCACTAGTTCAGGATAAATATTCCTATTCCTGTTCTATACCCAAACCCTGTGTACATTGTGCAGGCATTTCAGTTTCCTCTTCCCAAAGCTGGGTGAGAAACACGTATGTGGCTGTTATGACCAGCAAAAGCATTGAAGCAGATTATTCCTGAGCAGTTTTTCAAATGATCCTAGGGGAGTTAGACTAATCAAGCTGAGGCAATCCAAAATGCCCCTCACTAAAGCTCTGAAGCCACATGCTAAATTGTGCATCACAGGTTAATTGCTATAATTTTTGTGTTGTAAATAAAATAGAAATAAGATGTCTTCAAGAAGAGTGAAAGGCTTGGGAGAAAAGTCTCCTTTTAATCAAAAAGAACAATGTCAAAGTAGGCTTTGTTGCAGACTTGGACAATACGGCTAAATATAATGGTTTTCTTTATGCACTTCTGTTTGCTCTATAAATCATCAGGTTGGGAATGGATTTTTGCGTCTCTTGTTCTAGAGTTCATCTGTTATCTCTGCAAGGTGTCTAGTTTTTTGGATGAGAGGGATGGCTTCCTACCTGAAAAGGGCATGTCCTTAATGGGTGGCCTTTCAGTATTGAAAAACGTTAGTAGAACTTTGTGCCCAGTAATCGATGCTGTTTGTTACAAAGATTTTCTGCTAGAAAATAAAAATACCTTGCTAGTACCAGAGATCTTTCTCTGAGAATCATGTTTTTAAAATCTATTTTAGAAGATCGAGAGAGGGAGAGAGGATAAGCAAGACTATAGCAGTAACTGCTTTTTTGACAATATATCAAGTTTGATTCATGAGTTTGCTTTTATTTTTTAATTCAACATTTCTGGCTTAATACTTGAAGGTCTTTTTACACAGTCTCTACTTAAAAAAAAAAAAAGGAAGGCATATTTCTCCATAATGACTTTCTTATTTGGGGTAGCATTTTTGTTAAGATGTTATTAAATACAGTTCCATGGAAAAACAATAGTTTCATTTTTCTGGCTGCATGGGTTTTTAAGTCCAGTAACTTTACTAAAAAGTGAAATAACCAGAATAAAAATAGTTTTAATGTATTTTAACATTTTAAATAATATTTGGAAAATTTATATTGCATTACTCTCCATAAAATGTATCGAATTGTACAACTGAGTAACAAGGTAAAGGTGGAGCTAGTCTGACCGTTTGGTTTTTATTTCTGTGTTGTTGTTTTTGTTGGGCTTTTTTAAGACCTATGCAAACAGAGCTGTGCAACATCCTAATGACAGGACAGCATAGTACAACACCTGCAGAGTATCACATGAAGTTGTAGGATGTGTAGTTATATTGCTGCTGAGATTATAATAATAGTTATCATCAAATCTCATTGTTGAAAAGCAGGTCATACATTATGATAACATGCCACATATAAAACTGAGGTGCACTCTTAAGAGAATCTGTTTTCAACAGTCCTATGATTTGGTAATGAATCATATACCATATGTTTATACCATACATACCTGTATTTTCCTTCTGTCCTTCCAAACTGTTCTGTGGATGTTCCCTTCAGTTAATGCCATCAGTAAATGTTACTGGTCTTCAGAGGTTCTCCTAGGTACGCGTCGTCATAACTTACATGCATGGTCTTTGTTCATGAGGGGCTAGGAGTTAAATTACTAAGTGATAGTCCCATCCCACACCTCACACCTTTTTTGTTTGTTTGGTTGGTTTTTTAAATAACCAAAAGGAAAATAGAGATGTGGAAGAAAGCTGTATTGGTCCCATAACTGAAATGAAGTGGACTGGAGGATTTACCAGAAGGATCATACTGGATAGGAAAAATTAAATAAAAAGGGGAAATCCTGAGACTAGCCTTGCGCTTACCTCTCTTTTTCTGTAAAAGAATTCCCTTTCTGCAGGACTAGCATGACTGGAGTGAGTTTTGGTAGGAGGCACGAGCCTCTGTCCCTACAGCTGCTGCGGTCTGCCCTGTCTGCTTCACCCCAGTGCCTGAATTCCTCTAGCCTGTGGGTCCCATGTGCAGTTGTAGCATGTGCATGCTTAATACTTGTGACATAAATATCATCTCTATTTGCAGATAAGTGAGGCATAGTAATTTGTTCAAGTATGTGTATCAAAGACTCTGGCCAAAACAAGTTCTCTGTTTTCACAAGAACAACAGCCTCTAAAAAACCCCAACACTTCTGTATTTGCCCAGATTTCTCAGCTGTACCCTATTGTCCCTGGTAGCTAAAGGATAGCTCACTGTAAGTAAGAGATTCTCGCATATGCCTTATGCTAAGCAAGCAAACTATTCAAACAATATCAAATTGATAAGTTTTGTCAGGTAAACACACTGTGTTCATACAGGATATTTAAACATGATCTCTAGATTTAGAGAGGCAAATCCTATCCACGTTGAAGTTGGTGTCCAAACTTCGCTGGGGCCAGTGCTGATTGTCAACTGTAATGTGTCATGTTCAGATTCTTGTACATGCAAAATACTTATTGAAGAACAATTTTGGTATTTTAGAACATCTTTTATGAGGTGGAAGTAATAATCTCAAGTTTAAAGAGAGGAATTTCCAGTCAGCAGTGAAAGACTGTAAGCTATAGAGCTGTGCTACAGAATTACAGAACTACAAGGGTATTTTTAAATCTACCTACACTTAACTATTTGCATGCAATTTGCTCACTTGAGTTGTACATCTGCCCATGTCTAATGTTTAATTTTCCTTTTCAACAGGTAGAGAGGATTGTTGACAAGAGGAAAAACAAGAAGGGAAAAACAGAGTATTTGGTGCGATGGAAAGGATACGACAGTGAAGATGATACTTGGGAGCCAGAACAGCACCTTGTTAATTGTGAGGAATATATACATGAATTTAACAGACGCCACAATGAAAAGCAGAAAGAAAGCACATTAACCAGGACAAACAGGACCTCTCCAAATAATGCCAGAAAACAAATTTCTAGATCTACCAATAGTTCTTTTTCAAAGACATCCACTAAATCTTTAGTTATGGGTAAAGAACATGAGTCAAAAAATAATCAACTCTTTTCTGCCACCCAGAAGTTCCGGAAAAACAATTCACCATCTCTTTCTGGAAGGAAAAATATGGACCTTGCAAAATCAGGTATTAAAATCCTAGTGCCCAAAAGTCCAATTAAGAGCCGGACAACAGTTGATGGCTTCCAGAACGAAAGCCCGGATAAAATGGACCATATAGAGCAGGATCAAGAAGACTCTGTAGCACCAGAAGTAGCAGCAGAAAAACCGGTGGGAGCTTTATTAGGACCTGGTGCAGAGCGTGCTAGGATGGGGAGCCGACCAAGGATACATCCATTAGTGCCAGTGCCAGTAACAGCCACAATTGCATCAGCATTAACAATAAATGGAAAAGGTACGTGTACGAGTCGGCCATTTTTGTGTACGTTTTTCATTTGACTGATCTTTTTTGCTGTTCAGATGCAAACAAATTACCCACTCTGTTTCAGCCATGTTAAATCAAGTCTGGAGAACTTCACAACTTTATTTTACATACCTATATGACTACAAAGCCATTTCAAATTTTGCCAGCTTTTGCTTTCCTCGCAGAGATTCATTGGTATTTGTGTTTTCCGAATCACCATGAGATACATCTGTGTTTGCCTTGACATTGTGTGGTACACATATTCCGTGTACCACTTCCAGAGATTACATCATTGCTTGAAGTTTCTTTAAATAGGTCAAATTTGTTACTAATATTAGAAACATAAATTATTAGATGAACGATGTGAGCAGGGATTCTTCATACCAGTTTACATATCTATGTTGTTATAAATATTGCCTGGGAAAAAAACCTGTGAGAATGATGTTGCTTAAAAAACGAAGGTTTGTTTCAGTGAAAATTTGAGCCAGTTGTAGGGATACACATGCCTTCTCCCTGGATTGAATTCTGTCTTCATTATATTTTATCAATATTTTGTTGTTTATACCTCATTTGATACTGAGACCTTATTTAGGTTTGATGTGTGGCTTGTTAATATCTCAGTAGATGACAGTTTCTTCAAGTTGTACTGTAAAATTTGTGACACCAGTGAAACCCAAACTGCTTTTGCGGGAGGAAGCTGTTTGTTCCCCCTACCTGGCTGAGACCCTTATTTAAGACTTCATGGTCCTCATTCTCGTGCCCCAAACTTTCGTTCTTTCCTGATAGACCTGGGTTGCCGTGTAGTCACAGGTGTTCTTGGAAGGATGCTTTTGAGGCTAAATTTTCAAGTGTAGTACTGTGTCCTCAAATAAAATGCAATGGGTAAAATCTGCAGGTATGCTATTGATGATGGCTTGCTGGGAAAATTGCTTGAAAACCAAGGACTGGGCCTGTGGAAAACCACTTTTACGTAGAAACTATGTAGGCACAAAAATGCGTTGAAGACTTTGGGAGAGTTTGTGTTGGGTGCCCCACTGTTGCTTACATTCAGATTTTCTGAAGAAAAAAAAAAAGCTGTGGCGGGAGAGGTTGCAAAGCAGTGGACAGGGGAGGAGTATGCTTCTGGAGCTGTGGTGTCAGGTCATGGACCAGCCCATTTTGCTGCAGATGAACTAGGTAACCATGGTAATGCACACAGGGATGCCAGGAATATCTTTTCCTTTGCATGGGTTAAAGAAGGAATGTAAATCTCAGAGGATGTAAACAAAGCTGGAGGGGAAAATGCAAGATATGCCAGTGTGTGAGTTTTCTGAGCAGGTGAGGTAGAGGAGTGTGTTTGCACATGTGATCGTTTTCTGATAATTAATATGCATTTTTGGTGTTTTTCCTAGTGAAAAGATTGATAAGGTCTGCCTTCAGCTTCCTGGTTTTTTGCCTCATGGCATTCAGAAAAAAAAATTGGGACACAAAGGACCTTCTTGGGTAGATCAGTAACCACAGATGATTAAATCATTCCCACCAACCTTTTACTCTGATAATAGCAGTACAGCAAAGGCCCAGTTACAGGGCGTCAAGTGGAAGTGGAAAGAGCTGCACAAGAATGGTAGTGACACATAAAATATTAGCTGAGGTGCATTTATCTGTTTGACTGAGATCTTACAATTTCCTCAACTGCCACTACCTCCTTCAGCTCTTCAGAGGCATTTGTCTGAGCAACTAACATTAAAAGCTACCCTCTGACCCTAGGGATGATGGCAATACAAGACTTTTCTCACACTTAGGTTTTCACGTGATCTTAAGGTGTAGATCATAAAAAAGAGAGAGCCAAGGATAGTCACATTATATGGTTGCCCAAAAATACGCAGTGTGTTTCCACCTTCTGTCTGCTGCAGGAGGAATATTAGTTCAAGTACATTAACTGAGGCTTTCCCTCCCTGTCCTGGTGCATTGCTGCCGATCCCCAAGCTGAGCTGTGCAGTCTGCTGGGAAATAGATGCCAAATATCCAAATTTATTACGGCTTTGCAGGCAGTTATGCTCGTCTGCAACACTTTTGGGGATAACATCCAAATCATCTGATTATAAACCTTGGAAACAAAGTTGCAAAAGAAAAATACTTTGAGTTTATATCTGACATCAGTCTCTTTTCCTAGCTTTTTAGGATTTCTTGGACAGATATCTTTCTCAGGGAAGCCCAGGCTCCAACTCAGCCATTCTGCATGGCCAGAGTGGACCTTTATTTAGAGAGAAGCCAAAAGAGGCAGCCATGTCTCTTAGAGCTAGCCTGGCCTTGGGGATTTCTGAGCTGACACATTCTCTGCCTCTTCATTAAAGCTGCGCTCTTCTCCTTGCTGTTTTTATTTTTAACTTCACACTGCTATTCATTAAAATGTAGTAAATCGATGCTTCCTTCCCTCCCCTGCATGGGGCTGTCGCAGTTCAGGATCCTGTTTCACTCCTTACTCAGGACATTCCTTCTGTCTTAAATGGACACCTCATCACATTTTTGACGCCACCTCGGGCGAATGC